ATTCTATAATACATATTTAGATGGAAATATCATAAATATAAATAATTGTATTGCTTAAAAGAACATTTATACCTTAAAGTCATTGAAAATTTGCTCCTTCAACGCGAATGGGAAATCACTCCAAGACGCATAAGGGCCATCATAAAGCTTTCTGGTGGCTTTGGTGATAATCCTTGTAGTAATATTACTAGGGATGAACCTGCAATTTAATAAAAAAAAAACATTAATATCTTAGTAAAACTGTATAAAACAATAAACGTAAAAATAACAAATAACTCTTACTCATCACCCTCAGGGACTATGATGATCCTTCCATACTGATCATAATATGCCTTCTCGTCATCATCAGCATCACCGTCTGAAGCATGCATATCAGAGGCATGTGTGGAAGGTGTAGGGGGGTCAGAGCTAGTATCTCGCAGGCGAAGGCCTGAAATAGGTGGAGTTTCAGATGAAGATGGTTGCGAGCCCTGTGACTGCGGCATAGCTGTATGGTCCGCAAGTGGACGTGACACTGATAGCTGTGACCCGAGTGGCTGTGACCTGAGTGGCTGTGACACTGATGCCTGTGATCCATGTGTATGTGACATGGATCGATGTGATCCATGCGATGCAGATGGCTGCAATCCACGTGGTCGTGCGGCAGCTGGACTGTAATAATTATTATACTTAGCTTTTGTTAGCTAATAATTATTTAAAAGTTAAGTGCATTAACTACTTATAATATAGTATATAGTATATTAGTGCATTAGCTAATATATATATATATAAGCTTTTATCGAATATATATAAAAGCTATATTCGATATAATATTAGCTAATGCACTAATATTTATATATATATAAGCTATATTCTATAATACATATTTAGATGGAAATATCATAAATATAAATAATTGTATTGCTTAAAAGAACATTTATACCTTAAAGTCATTGAAAATTTGCTCCTTCAACGCGAATGGGAAATCACTCCAAGACGCATAAGGGCCATCATAAAGCTTTCTGGTGGCTTTGGTGATAATCCTTGTAGTAATATTACTAGGGATGAACCTGCAATTTAATAAAAAAAATACATTAATATCTTAGTAAAACTGTATAAAACAATAAACGTAAAAATAACAAATAACTCTTACTCATCACCCTCAGGGACTATGATGATCCTTCCATACTGATCATAATATGCCTTCTCGTCATCATCAGCATCACCGTCTGAAGCATGCATATCAGAGGCATGTGTGGAAGGTGTAGGGGGGTCAGAGCTAGTATCTCGCAGGCGAAGGCCTGAAATAGGTGGAGTTTCAGATGAAGATGGTTGCGAGCCCTGTGACTGCGGCATAGCTGTATGGTCCGCAAGTGGACGTGACACTGATAGCTGTGACCCGAGTGGCTGTGACCTGAGTGGCTGTGACACTGATGCCTGTGATCCATGTGTATGTGACATGGATCGATGTGATCCATGCGATGCAGATGGCTGCAATCCACGTGGTCGTGCGGCAGCTGGACTGTAATAATTATTATACTTAGCTTTTGTTAGCTAATAATTATTTAAAAGTTAAGTGCATTAACTACTTATAATATAGTATATAGTATATTAGTGCATTAGCTAATATATATATTTATAAGCTTTTATCGAATATATATAAAAGCTATATTCGATATAATATTAGCTAATGCACTAATATTTATATATATATATATATAAGCTATATTCTATAATACATATTTAGATGGAAATATCATAAATATAAATAATTGTACTGCTTAAAAGAACATTTATACCTTAAAGTCATTGAAAATTTGCTCCTTCAGTGTGAATGGGAAATCACTCCAAGACGCATAAGGGCCATCATAAAGCTTTCTGGTGGCTTTGGTGATAATCCTTGTAGTAATATTACTAGGGATGAACCTGCAATTTAATAAAAAAAATACATTAATATCTTAGTAAAACTGTACAAAACAATAAACGTAAAAATAACAAATAACTCTTACCCATCACCCTCAGGGACTATGATGATCCTGTCATACTAATCATAATGTGCCTCCTCGTCATTATCAGCATCACCGTCCGAAGCATGCATATCAGAGGCATGTGTGGAAGGTGTAGGGGGGTCAGAGCTAGTATCTCACAGGCAAAGGCCTGAAATAGGTGGAGTTTCAGATGAAGATGGTTGCGAGCCCTGTGACTGCGACATAGCTGTATGGCCCGCAAGTGGACGTGACACTGATAGCTGTGACCTGAGTGGCTGTGACACTGATGCCTGTGATCCATGTGTATGTGACATGGATCGATGTGATCCATGCATTGCAAATGGCTGCGATCCACGTGGTCATGTGGCAGCTAGACTGTATGTCGGACGTACAGTCCTATGGCCCTGTGACGAATGACCTGGTGTGTGCACGAAGGTGTAGGGCTAGTGATGCTGTGGCATCTCAGAATAGCCCTGGGGTGGAGGCAAAGTCATAGGCATAGGCAAAAGCATCTCTGAAGAGGCAGGAAAAGATGGAGGATTATCTTCTACCCTTCTCTTTGGTTTCTTAGCCTTTTCTCGACCCTTGCCTGTCATCTGCATAATATAATACATATTTAGATTGAAACATATAAAGAAACTAGCTATAAACGAGAGTTATTAAAGAAACCAACTTTTTAAAGTTCATCGACGTATAGTTCCTCGTCCGAGAATTCTTCTTCCTCACTAGTTTGAGCTTCATCAGTTGATTCTTCTTCCTCGTTTTCTATAATTCTTACTTCATTTATATCAACTTCTTCCAATATGTGTTCAGGATGTTCCAAATTATTTTCTAAAACTCCGTCCACTATTTGGTCAACACTGGAGATATCGTTTTGATATGCAACATCTAACACATTCTCGACTTCCGTCATACCCACAGGCTTAGTTTTTATTACAACCCACCAATCGGATTTATTCCGCCGCAATGGATAAGGAGCATAATACACTTGCCTAACATTATGTGCAATTATGTAAGGATCACAGCGATCATACTCCCTCGTATGATTAACCTCAATTATGTTGTATTGATTGTGTACTCTTGTACCTCTTGTTGGACACGAAAAATATAAAGATACAGTACTATGCTCAATACGTACATGTCATTATTTAGTCACCACCGCCTAGTATTCACTGCTCCAACCACTTAAATTTTTTTTTCCAGCTTATTTCTTTCTTATTCCACCTCTTTGAGTTTCTCCTTCAACTCCGCAACTTCTCGTTTGGATTGTCGCTCTCTTTCCCACTGTTTCAAGGTCAAATAATGAAGATGCTGCAACTTTTCTTTGTAGTATCCTACTAACAGGGTTCATCAATCCATACCTCAAAATTGCAAATAGGTTCGTTGGAAACCCTATAAAACTTGTTCATACATGCCCAGTAGCGGCGTCCAGCTGCACCATCATCCTAACAGTCTTATATCATGCATTGTTTGCCGCACTCGCACCTTGGTACATAAAGGGGTTCAGAGATTTGTTAAAGTGTAAAAAAACCTTTCTTTTATGGAAATATTTACTATTGGTTATTGTTAAGCGCAGAAAATAACTAGAATGCGCCTGTTATTTATAGGCAAGACAATACACAAAATGTAGTATTTAACCACGCTATACATATTGACTTTTTCTGAAACGAATAGCTTTTTCGCAGTCGGTCAGCTTTTCAGACCGATAAGACAATAAACAAAACTTAGTATTTAACCGCGCTATATATATTGACATTTTCTAAAATGAAATAACTTTTTTGCAGTCGGTCAGCTTTTTAGACCGACAAGACAACACACAAAATGTAGTATTTAACCGCACTATACATATTGACTTTTTTTGAAACAAAACAACTTTTGCGCAATCGGTCAGCTTTTTAGACCGACAAGACAACATACAGAATGTAGTATTCAACCGCGCTATACATATTGACTTTTTCCGAAACGAAACATCTTTGTCTTGATTTATCCTTTTATTATCTTTTATTTTCATATATGTTGCTTTAGTTATGGTTGTTGTGCTTTTTTCTCTTCAAGTATTATGTTATGAAATTTCAATCTTCATATTGGTCTTCTTTACTCACACCAATAAGTTGAATGTTGGAACTATCATATCATCATCCCAATTAAAAAGGTCATGTTAGATAATAAGATGTAACAAGACTGTGGAACATAATTTTATTTGACAGATATTGCAACATAAACAAGTATATACACTTATTACAAAAAACATTACGAAAACAAAACACTAGGTGTATCCTTGATAGTTGGGTACATTAGACGAACTTGCACCAGGAGCTGGATTACCACTGCCACCCAGACCAGCTGAAGGACATTTACGACGGTCGTGTCCTTTTGCAAGCATATGCCACATTTACATGCATAAATGGTATCACCAACATCCATTTGGTTCCGTATACGCGTTCTCTTTTGCACTTGTAGCTTGCGCAAATAGTCCTTGTTACACATCATTTTAAATGGTTCCAGCGGCCAATAATGCTCAGCACTCAATGGTTGCAATTGCCCACTATATGTGTTTCGTATGCAACAACACTATATTGCATATTAACATAGTTGGTTGCCCCTAAACCAACTTGTTGAAAGCACTTCATGGCATGTGCGCACGGCATGTGGTAAATAGTCCATTTCCCACATGAACACAACCTGCTGACTCATTCACGGTGTGTAGATTATTCCCCTGGTGTCCGCGGATAGTGGTGCAAACTTCAAAAACACCCCGGTCGTGATCATACTATAAATATGAATACCAATGTACTCACCTCCTATATTTCTCAAATCTTCTCATCAGTATTGGCATAAATTGAACAACCCTTTTCCATCAATTCTGATGCAGCTCTATGCCTTTCAACAAACCTCCCCGCAATCTCTTTGAATGTCATCCGGACTATGGCAATGACAGGCAATTCACGTGCAGACTTCAATAAGACGTTGAATGACTCCGACACATTTGTAGTCAGGGCTCTCCATCGTCTGCCACCATCAACATGCAATGTCCACTTGTGAAGCTCATGTCCCATAAGCCAATTATAGGGTTTTTTCGTCTAACTGCTGGATCTCTTCCATGCGCCTCCTGAATTTGCACTGCTGGTGCTTAGTTGCAGCCATCCACATTAAATCATGCAAGGCCTTGTCGGGATATTTTTTCTGGAAATTGGCCTTCATGTGCCTCACACAGTAACAGTGGTATGCATAGGGTTCTTGCCATTCAGGCAAATGTCGTACAGAACTTAAAATGCCACCATGCCGATAAGATATTAGACAAATACCTAAATGTTGTTTGACAACATGTTGCTTCAAGTGGTTCAAAAATAGCGTCCACGTATCTTCGCTTTCATTGGCACAAAAGACAAAAACTAGTGGAAATATTTGTTTGTTGGCTTCTAATGCAACTACGATCAAAAGCTTAACATCATACTTTCCAGAGACATGACTACCATATATGAAAATTACCGGACGACAATGCACAAAACCATCAATTGCTAGTTTAAATGCCAGAACACGTATCTGAATATATATTCCGGTATTCCCGAACTCCGCTCATGCCTCCATTCAACAACAGTCCCGGGGTTAAAGTATTTCAGTGTGGCCATGTACCTGGGTAGAGATGAAAATGACTTATCCCAGTCACCATAAATAATTTCAAATGCACGTTTGCGCCTGAGATATGCCTTTTTTTTGGTTATAGTACACCCATATTCCTAGTGGACGGATGTAATACACTCTTTGATCTTGTACCTAATGGACACTTCAAAGTGTGGAATCAAGACAAGAGAAATCAAGTCTACATCCAAGTTGAAGTGATTCTCATTGAATGTGTCCATTTCACATCCGTGGGTGCTAATATATTTACCCACTTTCCACAACCCTGTTTCCTTCTTGATTGCACGCAACATCTAGTTACAACCCATAAAGTGTCTATGGCATTTGACATTGTATACCTCCGGAGTTGACTCACATACCATCATCTCACGGAACTCTCTTACACTGTACATTTTTACAGCCCTGGTTAAGCGAGCTTTATCGGGAAAATACATGCCCTTTGCTAGCACCATTGGTCTAGACTCATCCCACATTGCTGACCAAAATTCGTCAGCATCCCTTGTGAGGGCATCCACATCCGGAATTCTTCGCAAATTATCAAGGTAGGGAATATTCCGCTCATAAAACAATGTGGGACTCGTACACTCTTGGTCTAACGGGAGATGGAGGAGCATACTCTCTCGTCAGCTCAGGTTCAACATTCACTTCCTCCTCATCATCACCCTCATCAGGGAAGGGTGTGTCATCTCGAAACTCATTGGCATTGTTGTCATAATCACTATTATCTTCCTAACTCTGCGCATCTGCCAAATCACGAGTAAATACGTCGTCTATGGGCAACTGAGTGAGGTCAGGACCATCAAGTTGCTCGTTTTCACTGCACAAAAAGAACAA